TAACACTGCCGATCAGCTAAATCTAGTTTCATTTTCGAAAGCTCTCATTGAAATGCCTGCCATTGCCTCCTTCCAATATGATGCAAAAGCTGTCCATTTTTTAATCAGTTAGAACTGGAGCTTAGAAAATGCATTTTTTTTTCTTCATGCGTAGAAACCAACTAAGAAGACCATGAGACCCAATGAGACGATATATGGACATATTACTCCACAAATCCGAATAGCGATGGAGCGGCAACAACACCAGCTGTTCACCTTGGACGCTCGCGGAACCATTCCGCGTCGCACTATCAATCAGCTGTGTATAGAAGCAATCGTTACTAGTGACGCTTCTACCGCCGCTGCCAAGTCGCCACTGTTATTGCTACCACTGCGGCTGCCGTAGTCATGATCGCCAACAGCATCTACAATGACTCTTCGTACCTTCACTTCAAATGCAACTTGTGTATTCACATGTGACCGCAGAACATTTCATTGCGACAGTGTAACGACATTACTAAAGTCCCGTACAGTAGACAACGGTTTCGTTGCAAGACCCTGTAACAATCACTATCATCAATACCACAGTATCCGATGCTCTGCAGCTATAATGCCGGCCCCTTATTATTACCGTGTTAAGACCAAAACCGCAGACAATGACGCTGAGCCATCACAACACCACTATACGCACGTTCGCTGCAACGCGTAACCACTGCTCTTTGAGGTTCTTACCAGACAACAACTGTCAAAAACATGTATCGAACTGCACTCGCTGTGCTGCTGTATAACGGTTTTTCTGTGATGGCGTCACTGAATTTTTACTAGTTCTTAAGTCTGCAGTTCTGTTGTATCTAGAAAACTTTATTAGGTTTAAAGTCGCAAAGAGTGCTAAATGTGACTCCAAGTCTTTTTTTCACCTCTACCCAATGAGACAAAAACATTGAAATGAACATGCGAAACGGCACTACCACTTGGCAGTGCAAGCTTATCTGTCTCTTCTTGCCTTCATTCACCTGCAACGGGAGTTCCTTCAACACAGCAACCTTAACTGCCGAAACGAAGGCCTTCAAACCACAAACATACTTTCACACGGAAGTGCAGGACGTATTGGCATACCCCACTAACCTAATGAACTGCAATATGATTAAACCAAGTCCTTCATGAATTCTCGATATGTCAGGCAGTGCCACTGTCAACCAGTGTACTTCTCACCTCTTGTCCTCCACTATTAGTTCTCATGCGTACCGTACCCACAACTCCTATGATCAAGCGCGAAAAACTGCTCTCCTCAAACTCAAACGCATCACCCACTTAAAACCCACCCAGCCGCAAAACAAACATCCTCATGAGTAATCAAACTTCACCTAACTCCCATCTCTTATCTGCCCATGCCTGATCAAACCGTCAAACCCACTGAACCCCCCACCTCAGCTCAAGAGAACTACGCCAGCACAGGAGCACATCGTCTGCACTCCATCCCTCCTCCGTAGTGCCAATAGACTTACAAAACCAACAAAGTAACGGACGCATCACAAGCCGCGCTTCAACTAGGCAATGCCCTTCTGTCCTTGTCTTCTCTTGAATTGGCCATTAATACTAACTCAAGCGACCCCTATATACCCTTCCATCAAGAAAAATAAACTAAGCAATTGGAGAATTTATTGATTTCAGCAGATTCAAAACAAACATGGATGCCAACAGAACAGATTCTACGAGAACAAGTTACAAAACATTCATTTCAATCATATAACACATGTACTTCTTAAAAGCACCCGCTTCCAAACAAAAATCTGCTTAGCAGCTCAAAAATATCAAACCGCTTACTTTCAATGAAGATTTTCCATTAAAAAAATTAGTGAAGTAAAACAATCCGCTAGTCCTTGAAAACGCCAAATTTTGGCTAACCACTCAAGTTTTGAGACATCTTGAATAACTATTGTTTTAGACAAAATAAAGCATAGCGATATTCAACAAAATACGGCAACAACAAAATGGAAAGAATATTACGGCAGGGACAGAATTTGCAGGAAACAAACTACATCTTACATGAAAAACAAAATAATGCTTCCGCTATTACAATTAAAAAAGTTACAAACTTTCAAAACAAATGAAAGAATTTGGTGGTGTTAAGGGTATTTTAAAGATAGTGGACAGCATTAAATAAGTTTCCATGACAATCTGCTACAGAGAACAACTTCCAATTTAAAAAAATCTAACTTCTGCGAAGAGCTGTAAAAATATTTCTGCCGTTACACTTTACACCAACAGTGAGCCGATCAGAATTGCTGTTGTTGAGCATAACGTTGTTGATTACCACCCCTCTGATTTGTAGTGGTCTGCGAGTAGGGATCATAACCGGTGCCTAAATGAAAATCGAATTTGCCAGAAAAATTTGAATGACCAAATTACTAATGAAAAAATAAGAACGTTTAAAAAATGGTGAGACAAGATGACCATCGAACTACACCCAAGATAAATAACTGTATCCAAGAGCTTCTGGATCAAACTGAATCGATGACTAACACATACCATATCCTGCATAACTTCCCCCACCAACACTTTGCTGGTAGTAATTAGCTGCAGCATTACCATACCAATCGCCCCAAGCACCACTCCCTGCTGCACCACCATATGGGCCCATAGCACCCATCTGCCATCCAGCCTGTCCAAACCATCCATTCATAACTCCGCCACGTCCCGCACCAAAACCTCCTCTCATGGCTGCTCCTCCCCGACCTCCGGGGAACCGTTTGCCTTGTGGAACTGCTTTTTTAACATCACACTGAAAGATATTTTATGTGTAACGCTCCGTTAATTCAAATGTACGCTATCTAGATATTTTAGCGTAAAATAGCCTAATAGACCTTATCCGAACAGTAAAGCGCAATGTACTGCTCGAGAATCGAAAAAAAAAGTAGTAATTGGTATACTATACGGGTAAAACCCACCAACTTTATCTTAAGCAGTACCTCGAAAACTTATTTTTGAGTGGCGTACATGTACAATGAAAACATTAAAGATAAAGAAGTTCCAACCTCGCGACCGCCAAAGGACTGCTTCGGATTTGCAGACGCACGATCTGCGGCTTCTTCCTCTTCGAAAACAATAAAAGCGAAATTTCTACGAGCTTTGGTTTGCTTATCATAGGGCCATTCAATATCTTCTACTTTTCCGAAACTTTCAAAATACGCCCGAAGTTCGGCTTCTGCAACAGAACCTATCAGTGTTCCCGAGTGACGACCAAGTACAATGTGTACTCAAGAAGAACACTGTAATCGCACAAATTAAAACCCGCAGCCTGACTCATGTCAGTAAAAGTGAAAACGACGTAACAAAACGAGCCAAAACCTACTCAAACAACGCATAAATTAACCTGGATGTTCAGCTGGCAGACCTCCAACAAAAACTTTCTTATTCTCGCGAGACTTAGCAGGTTTCACTTCAATCTGTTTATTTTTGAGCGTCTGATCCCTGACTGAAAGTGCTGCCTTACACGCCTCACCCGTCGTAAATTCAACAAAAGCAAATCCCCGAGATCTTCCTGTGTTACGATCATACTTTACCTGAGCCTGAGCAACCTCACCAAACTGCGAGAAATGCGAAGATAAATCATCATTAGTTACATCATACGCAATACCACCAACAAATATCTTCCTGAAACAGATAATACTTACACACCAGAGCGCTAATATATCCCTGGATAGGAATTCGATATAAACATTTCACAAAAAAGCTGCTTTCAGTTAATGAATGATCAGCAACATACTTGTCTTCGTTGCCTTTACCAGTGGAAACGTTGCTGTTCGAAATGTCCTCCCCGCCGTTGGTAGTAATTCCGTTCTGATTCTGAGACTCCTGATGGCTATCCTGTTGAGAATCCATATTTTACCTAGAACCCACCTGGAGTTCAAAACGCTTTTCACAACCTAATAAATAATGTAATTGAAGAGACAAAAAACTCCATTCAAAAATTTTATTTCTTACAAAAAGAATAAGAAAGATATTTACCTTACTAAAAAAGATCGTTACCAAGAAGTTGAATACAGAACAAAGAAGAGTTACAGAAAAAAAAAAAAGGAGAAAGGTTATACAAAACCGGAGAATTACGAAAGCTTTAGTCGTTACAGACTATCTAGAAAATACCCTGAAAAAATACTTCAGTGAAGAAATGCACGGCACCAGACCATAAGCACGCGACGTTGTTGCAACAAAATTCACAAAAACCGCCCTGGCAAGTTGCCAAAATGCGGCGACACGATTAAAGAAAAACCGAGCAATGCGTGAAAGGCGAAAGAAACACATAGTGGGACAACGCAGTTTTAAAGCCCTTTACACTCGTCCCGCGCCAAGGGCTTATGATCATCATCATTTTCAAAGTATCGCCATGATCACTGACTGAGTTCTTTGTTCTTTCTTTTGTTTCTCGCTTCGTAAATTACACCTGTACGAACCAAAAGCTCCTCAATAACCACCATCTATCAAAACACAGCAGCGAGGTCGCCCTTCTAAGTTCCCTCCTTCAGTAATACTCCGAAGACTCTTTAGAAGCCAGAAAACGAACTTTAGCAAACTTATTAATGTAGTGTACCAAAATTAACAGAAAAGGAACAATGGAAAGAACCCATTAATCCAGACTCATCTGACATTCTACGCAGAGCTCTTAATACAAAACTAATTTAGCTAAGGAAAAATACTGAATGTACACGAATATAATACATTAAAAATTCTTTAAACGTCAAAAAATACACAACCTGATCGATTCAGCAGCGAATACTCTCTGAGAAGATTTATCCGTAAACTCTTCAAATTACAGTCGCTAGAGAAGACTGTTTTGCTACTACTCGGTGCTCAAAAAAGAAAAAAGCTTTTATTAATTCACTAAAAAAACATCTTCCCATACCGCAAACAGCATGCATACCCAAATTCTGCTGGAAAATAAACTGAAAAAGTTGAGTTGCGCGACTTCCAGAATTCAGCCATAAAAACCAGAACAAACGATAAACAAAAGTAAGAAACTAATTCGCTGCTAATTGCTCAAAACTTCCCTTGTCACAGCCTAAATTAGCGCTGTAAATGCATTAAAAAAAAAA